TTCCTAGGGCTGAGAGACAGTGACTGGCCCAAGGTCACCCAGCTGGCTTTGTGCCTAAGGCGGGAGAAGAACTTTCAATCTCTGAGTGAGCCAGTTTGGTATAGCGGTTAAGGTACCAGGCTAGAAACCAGGAGACTGTGAGCTCAGAAACAATTAAAATCAATAAGAGCATAGTCTAGTAATATAAAAATATTACAATGTAAAACAAGATAAAATATAGAATTGTAGAGAGAATTAAACATATACACACAAACTGACACACACATCACAGTTTAACTAATACAATTCTGATAGTGCCTTTGGATGTTGGTAAAATATTACTCAGGCAATACAAATCCCAATCTCTTAGAGCAAGAACCCCACCAAAACAATAAATGCCTTCTTCCCTGTTTCCACTGGCATCTTAACAGCATACAAAAGAGCTTCATCTGAAGTTCTTAATTAGCTGACAAATCCACATGGGATAAAATAACTCTTTATTGCGGCCCAACCGCAAGCTAAAAATAGTGACTCACACCTTGAATTATTCTGGAAATTGAGCCATAACCAATATAGTGTACAGTCCATTATCCCAGTTCCAGACATCAGTAAACATCTTAATGATAGCTTCTTCCCAAACAATGGACACTCCAAGTGGAAAGAGAATGGGACTGTGCTTGCAGACCTGCGGCTAACACTCTCCTTCCCCCATACAGGAAAGAAATCTGAAGGGGAACTGTACCCACATCACTTGATCAGGAATACTAGTCTCCATGTCATCCAGAATCTGAATAAAACAGGGTCCTGGATCGTGAGGACTGCTCTTCTCCTCCCTCAACATGTTCTCGCATGTTTAATGGGACTTTAATTGCTACACAATGATATGATAACCATATCCTTAACAGACAGATTTAAATATCTCAAGCCTTATCCTCTTGCTGAAAAGTCAGTCATCTCTGACTCTCTCAGATTGCCTTATTGTTTTATATAAGGATTACATTTAATCCTAATCACGTTTCCAGTTATCAAAAACTGATTTAGATAAAAATTCAATTTCCAGTGTGCCAAGCCATAAATGGTACCAAACAGTCAGCATCAATTATCTGGTTGCAAAGCCAACATTTTTGTTTGTTTGTTTTATAATTAAAGAAATATACAAGCATTGTGAGTTTGAAAGGGCTGGCAAGGGAAATGTCTCTTTCTTAAATTGCCATAGATTCAACACGTAACAGATCAATATAACAGTTGCTATTGCATTCTGTGACAGTAATTGTCCCAAATATTGGGGTCCAAAATAATAATGGATATAAGTCAGTATTTCTATACACAAATATTAAAAAAATTAAACAATGCAAGACCATGAATGGCAGTACTGTAATAAGGTTCATATTTTCAATGTTTCAATGTTAATGACTAATAAATTTGCTCCCATTAAATAAATCAACTGGTATAATGATTTGTGAATTTCTGGGAAAAGACTGAAAGAAATATACCTGACTTTAATGCTTAAAATGTAAAGATGGCACTTATAAAGAGATTCCTTAATAAGGAATCTGCTCCTGGTTTCTTTCTAAATATCTGATAGGAGATTTCCAATTCAACATTTAAAGTCAGCATTGAATGAGGTAGAAGTTTGTTATGGAACCTATTCTTACAATATGAAGGATCCATGAGAAGTCATACACTAGCAACAACAGAATCTGTAGCAATAGGAAGACGAACAATGTAAGTACACTGAGCTTAACCATCTATACCAAACAGTTTTTATAGTGGACTTTCTTCTTTTCACAATTGTGTATATGCCAGTGGAAGAAGAACCAAGTGAGAGAAAAAAAACCTGACAGAATTTAACTGAACTGGTTATTTTAATTAAAGCAGATTGCACTGTACTTTGTCCAAGGGAGAGTGGTACATTATTGTTGTTTAAAATAGGGACAGTAATCCTGCATCTTTCCTACATCTGCTTTTAAATTTTTGAAGACCCTTTACAAAGATTCATATTCATTTAATGCAAATTTCTTCTTCTAGTTCCATTTTTATGCAGTTCTCCCAATGCATATTTTTGTAAGCAGCTGCATTTGTATGTGAACTTTTTTGAAATATATCGATTTTTTATATTTTTGATTTGGTGAAATCTCCATCACAAAATTTGATGGTTGCAGATTTCAGGAAATCTCAATTGGATAAATTCATATTAAAACAAATCAAATGAATTAATTCCCATCCATATTGTAACAATAATGGGGAAGGGAATTTTGCAATGATATTAATTTAAAAGCAGTGAAATACTAATGAGTCCCAGCTAATGCACTGTGGATCCAGATTACCATGAATTGTCAATGTCAGTATGGAGGGAAATGTTTAAATCATGGGCTAAAACACAGTCCCAACCTTAAGAGCAAGGGGAAGCACTGTTGGGTAGAGATGAAATTCACACATTTAGATTATTCTGCGGGGGGGGGGGACCCTACTCAAATACCTACCCTACGGTAAAAAACTGCCTCATCTCCTGTCGTCGAGATCTCATTAGCTGTTTATATTCTCCAATGCGCAGTTTCTTGCCATCAACAATGCAAGTGCGTTTTGGTCGGGGTTTATATTTGTAATTAGGGTATTTTTCTAAGTGGATTTTACTTAATCGTGCTTGCTCTTCATAATAAGGTTGTTTCTCTTGGTTTGACATGGATTTCCAGCGGGAGCCTGCATAGAAAAAAAAATGATATCAGTGAACTTTCAAATCAATTCATTTTGGGGCTAATAAACTTCTAAACTGGAAGTAGGAATCTGCTGTATGATAATTCCCGTAATCTCTGACCATTAACCATTGTGACTGGGCCTAATGGAAGTTGGTCCAGCAATATCAGAAAGGCCAAAGATTTTCCAAGCCTGAACTCAGTCGTAATCCATAATTCATTTTAATGCATCAGCCAAGCCAAATCAAACTAATTGTTATGTGCTCTTCTCAGATGCTACAAATCTTTCTTATACTTCATGCAAGTTGTGAGAGCAAAACTAAGGCTATTAGCTTTGTCTCCCTCTCCAGTCTCATTGCCCTTATGCAAAGTTTTAGAGCCAGAACCTTCTTACAATAGAGGCTCCCCTTGCAATATAGAACTTTTAGCTCTTACAGAAACCTTCATGAATAGAAGAAACCTTCTCCTTCAGAGCTTTGACCTAAACAAGAGGCAGATGATAAGAATGAAAATATGGGGTGAATGGCATATTGTGATAATTAAGTTTCAGAATATGTAAAGAGGATATAAAACTTCCCAAGTATGTCCCAAGTCCCTTTATGACATTTTAAAGAATCTTTGGGTCCTGTATAAAGCAGCCTTCATAACATTCTCAAGGAGATCCAGATTGTTGGCCATTCCTCCATACAATTAAAGATACCAAAGAGGCTTACTAACAGAACAATGTAATTAGTCACAGAACTGGCATCATGAAAAAATATACTACAATAGTTAAAATGAAATCTTTAATTTATGTGTACATGAAATAAAAAAAACTCACCATAGTTATGTTAAATATGACAATAGTTTCAGAATGCTATGTATCAGGAAGTTCTTGATATATCCTTGAGACAAAGACCAACATCTCTACTACTTCTACTACTTAATCATTAATTTATTAAGAGATAGTACAGTCCTGAAATCAGTCCACAGCTCCTGGATACATATTTTAAACATTAAAAAAAAAACCTCCTATAAATGTATTAAATATCATAACCTAAGACTAAGCAAACTACTTTTTTTTTTCCTCTAATCATCTTGGCTTTGGTTTAGCTTTCTTTGTGATTGATTCATTGACCCTCATTATATATTATATTTTATATATTACACATTATACATTTATTATATATTATGTATTATATATTATATAAATTATAGGTTAGATTAAGTGTAATAATCTGTACTTAAAACTTCCATGGAGGGTACATTTGCTATGTCTTTACTACTTTAAATTACTATAAAAATAATAATTTTTTATAATAATCAATCACTAAAAGAATACCTAACATGAAAGGGAGAAATATGGCATATTGTTTATACAGAGTTACCTAAATAGCAAAGATTTTTTTTAAAGAAAGGAACTTCCAGCTGGTTAAAAATAATTACAGCTGTGGAAGACTTCTGGAGGAGTAATGGCAGAGTGAGGATGGCCTATTTTCACAGAGCCAATGACCGTGGTGGCTTAGAGGAGCTGGCGAAAAGTCCAGCTCCTTGGAACCATCTCTGGAGAAAGGAGACGACTTGAACACCCAGAGGTACTCCTTACAGAGGCTGCCTGTGAAGAGATTGCATTTTAGTGATCTCCAGCGGGTTCAGCACTCTAGGCGTCACAGGAAATATTGAGCTCAAGCTGCAGCTTGAAGCCTTCAAAAGGACATTAGATTTCCTCTCACTTCCTCTCTTAATTACCATCAGACATTACTTATTATTGGATTACTTGGACATTAAAAACCTTTCAGGCAAGTTGCTGTACACCAGGAGAATTTCCTTCTGTCCTGGAGGAAAGAAGATTTAAGTTCAAAGATTAAAAAGAAAAATCTTAACTTTTGGAAACTGCAAAAGGGAGTTAAGAATGATGACTGAGGACAGTTAAGGGACCAGATGGATTTGAAAGATTTTTTTCCCCTTTATGGACTGTTTTAAATTTTATAAAAATACAGCAGATGGTTTTGGACTTAATTGTAAGAAAACCTATTGTGGGAAAGTTTTGGTTCTCAAAATAAACACAAGATAAGATTGGGCTTTGAAAGTTAACTAGAGGGAACCAAAGAGCAATTAAAGGAAAAGATATATCCTAAAATAATAGAGGAACATTGTCTTACTACAGAAGAGTAAGGAACAGATTTTAAACAGAATTTAAATCTGTTTGGGAACAATGTGTTCAGGTTTTATTTTTAAAATTGGATCTAACAGAGGTTATAGAAGAAAAAGAGATCCTATTAAATAAAACAGAAGCTGAGGATGATTTGAACAAGTATTTTAAAATGGACTTTAAAGAAATGTCAGATTATAAAAGAGATATGGAAGATATGGAAAAAGATGTGGATCTGAAAATGGACTTCAAGATATTTGATTACAAGAGTGACATGGAGAGAAGTTGTAATGGATATATAAACTGTGCTGGCTGATGTTTTAACAATTAAAGGGGATATCCAGATTACAAATCAGAAGAGTGAGTTGGAGAGTTATTTTACTTTGGATCCATAGAAGGGAAGCATTACATTTCTGAAGTTGCTTCTGAAAACAAACAGGGAGAAAATGATAAGAAATAACTACTGTACATGGGACTTTATTTGAAGAAGCCACTGAAAATCAAACCTCTTAAAAAGAAGAAAAAGGTATTCAAAATAGACTTATTTGACCAGGGTTAAATTGTATAAGTTTTGATTTTGGGCTGTTATTATTGAAACCTTTTTTCTGACCAGGACCACAAAATGATATAAAGATTTTTTTTATATAGGGATGAATCTTTCATTTTCTATTTGTTAGAGAAAGTTAGGGGTTAGTATATGAAAGGGACCTACCGGATTGAGTTTAAAACATATATGTTACTATTATTGATATTCTTTATGCTTATGGGGATTTATGTTTTACTTATTAGAAAAATTTATAAGTCAAAATGTAAAAATAGATTAGTTTAAGCTTAAAACATATAGGTTATTATTACTGGTACTCTTAATGCTTTTGCTGTGTAAGACTGGTTAATGATTTTTTATATGTATAATTTGGTTATTGTTTAGTGATGAGAAATGAGAAAAAGAGTTCCTTTTTCTATAATATCAGAGAAGGTGTTAAGTTACTGTAAATGCTTATACTTGTCTGGAGGGAGGGGGGAGTCACTTTTTATATGTCTTTCTTTTTTCCTTTTCCTTTTTCTTGTTTAGTGATGAGAAATGAGAAAAAGAGTTCCTTTTTCTATAATATCAGAGAAGGTGTTAAGTTACTGTAAATGCTTATACTTGTCTGGAGGGAGGGGGGAGTCACTTTTTATATGTCTTTCTTTTTTCCTTTTCCTTTTTCTCTTTCTTGTTCTCTTTCTTCTTTTTTTGTTTGCATATCTTTTCTAATTATGTATTAGCTTTTAATTATGTAAAACTCTAATAAAAATATTATGAAAAAATGATTACAGCTGTGGTAAACATGGGTGGAAGCTGTTCTTTTACTATGAGCTTTTATACATCAACAAATGGAAAAGTTGTATAAATGTTATCCAGAGTCAGCAATGCTTTGCTGTCAGTTTTAATATTTCCAACTTTTTTTTTTTGTCATTGTCCTGGAAAATGTGTACCAATATTATATGTAAATTGACTCTCTCTCTCTCTCTCTCTCTCTCTCTCTGGTGGTGGCAAGGCAACTCCTGGCAAGTTATATCCTTTTTAAAAACATATGATTGCTGGCACTTCTGAAATATTTATACTGAATGTTTACATTTCAATGAATACTCTTACTATACTTGTAATAGTTTTTTTTCTTCCTTTAAAGAATGCACACAAATAATGTGGACTCCATATAGTTGCCAGAACTAAAACAGTGCAGGTTTTGTACAAAACTGAAAGACTATTCATACAACATACTAAAAATGGTAGACAAACATAAGCACTTCTATGAAAAACACCACATTTTGAGTACAGAGTTACACTTATTTCTCGAGGGTTTTTTGAATACCTCTTAAAGGAAGAAAAAAGCCTGTAAGAAAATTAACTTTGTTAAAATGTGTAATAATGCAAAATAAATTCATTACAGATGATAATTGTTTGTCTATTAGTTAACATTTACAATCCGTATTTAATTTCATAGATTTGGTGGGAAAATATCTATTTAAATATTGCCCTTCCTAGTCAACCTTAGAGACATTTTAATGCTTCAAAGAAATCTTGAATCTTAATTCTGTAGAAAATCAACAGGTTAATTTTTATGAGATAAAGCTTGACTTTGGGATACCTAATATTCTGGTTATATATTTTTTTTTAATTTTTCTTTAAAAAAAAAGTAAGTAAAATGAACTTGGGTTTTGAATTCTCAACCCATTCTTATTTAACTCTTTTATTGTTAGTTCCATTTTAATTAATTAATAATTGTTTAGATGCTAGGAAAAGTGCTTATCATTCAGTTCAGCCATCACATGACTGCCCAAAGCTTTTTATTTGTGTTCATTTAAACGTATTCCCAGTGTAACAAATTATTAGAAACTTTTCTCTTGCAGAAAGCTCATGTTTCTAATTTCCCATGATTTCTTATAAGTGGGTACAATAATATACTGCTAGTTATCCCTGTACAACATAATGCTGCTGACATCCAGCTGTATTGCTTTGTTCCATCTAACTCAGGAGAAATCACAAGCTACATTGAGGCCAATAAAGTAAGTTCAAATCCCAAACATTTTGTCAGTGAAGAATTTCCTGGTTTGGGTAATTCACCTATTTTTGATGGGACTGTATATTCCTCTGAAAAAAGTAGGGCATAGCTCAAGATTGCTCACAGAACTAAAAGGACCAATATAAGTCCAAATTATCACAGTATCAAGGAGCACTTTTTCCACTTTGAGCTAGATTACAAAACAGACAAAGCAATACAAGTATTAAAATATATTAAAGCATAAATCCTATAGATCTAATGAGCAATGTTGTCTTCAACACAGGGCCTGGTTGTGCTACAACCAGCAGATATTTGCTTGGCATTAACTAGGAAAAGGGCCTTTTCTGCTGGGGCACTGATTCTGTGGGACACTTTCCCCCAGAAATAAGACATGTATCAGTTCCAATTCAGGTGCATGCCAAAACGAAAGATCCATCTTAGTATTTTGGCTCTTATTGCTACACTCCTTACAAGCACTGGTTACACTATCCTATCTTACATGTCTTTTTGCATTAGGTATTGAATTTAATGCATTTTCAAGATATATTGCCTTGCGATGCCTCGCACATTTGAATTGGTACTTACCAAGAATTTTGCTAATGTTGGAGTTGTGCATGTCAGGAAAAGCTTGAAGAATTTTCCTGCGTTCGTCCTTTGCCCAAACCATGAAAGCATTCATTGGTCGTTTGATATGCGGCTCACTGCTGCTTCGGCCCCTGGCATCTCTGTAGACTCGAGCTTCAGCCACAGTGGCACCTCCTGTTGGCCAACAATAATACTGCTGTAGTTTAGCTGCAGAGCCATTCATTGCTTTACTTCCTGTAATGTCAGGGCAGGAAGAAACGAGATGGATGCCAACATTATTATATTATCTGGATTAGGGACAACTTCTTAGGTCCTGCTGATTTGCTACTTCCAGATCTATGAACCAAATACATTCTAAATTCAGGTATCGATTTAATCATTTTTGCTATTCCTTGGATACTTGCTAAGGCTATCATTCACTTAAGCAATGGGTGTAGCAAGTTTGTGAGTCTTGACTGAAATATTGGGGTGAGAGACATTTCGATATACTGTACGTTTGAAAGAATGCACTGTATATTTCCACCATAAGAAAGTAATGCAAGTAATGATAAACCCAAAATACATCGTAGGAGCAAAACGTATCTGTCATATATGATAATTATGACAAGACTAAAAATAAAAGAAACTTTATTTCAGATCTCTGCCCACCTACATGACAAATCCTCAGTGACTGTGAAATGATGTATCTTGATGAAAACTAAACTGGTGTAAATCAGCAAAGCACTTTTGATTTTATAGTGTTGACAAGTTTTACACCGTCTTCAGTTTTGAATCTATTTTTTTTCCAATTACACAGAAACCTAACTCTGCCAATTGTTGTAAAAAATCATCTGTAGTTTAAACACACAATTCTTTTGATTGTCCTGTATAGGCAATTCATTTTTATGGGTAAAATTGTAGAACAGAGGATGCATGACTAATATGCTACCTTTCTGCCAGCATGTCCACAGTACATTAATTTCATTTAAAATGCACTGACCATACAGGATAAATTGGTTTCACTTTATATGATGTTGACAGCCATGTTTATTGTGCAGTGAAATGTAGTGTAGCTTCAGGCTGACAATATCCATCAACACAGGGCAATATGTTGACTGCTGGGCCAGATGAAGACATACATTATCCTAGAAGCAAAACACTTACTTAGATGTGACACTGTCTTCTCTTAAGGATCACCAGAGTAATTTATGAAGCCCTCAATACCATTACTTTAGAACTGACACCAGTTTTACAACAGCACGCAGATAAAAGACAAGTCTGCTCTGAATGTCAAATGCAGCATTTTAACAGGAGCATAAGTTTATTTACTGTGCCATGGCTTTCAACATTTGCTAGCAATAACTATTACTGCAGCCTCTCCGTCATAATACCAAGTAGATGGAAATGTACCTGGAATCTAACAGAAATCAGGAGAGCCAAAATGGAGTCTTGCTGCAGAAGCTCAATGTATATTTGCAGCAGAAACTCTGCACACACAGTGTCTCTCATCCTAAAAGTCTAGCTGGATTTTAGTATCAGGTTTCATTGTTATTTCAAATATGGAAGCACAGAAATATTGATATCATCCAGTTTTAAATTCCCAAGTATGCAGTAAGAATGGATGAGACATTAATTTTGCATGTGTGTCTGTGTGTGAGAGAGAAAAAAACAGAGATGAGCTTCAACTTCTACTATATTTTTTTTTCCACATGTAGAACAAACTTTTACACCTTAATCATCTAACCTCTCAGTGGTTTAATCAACTATCCCATTCAATGTACATTTGGGGATCAGTATTAGATAAGATGATCCCCTCCTATCCCAAAATGCTGCCTCATTGTGGTGGGGGAGTGCTCCAGGGAGGGATGTGTGAAGAATGTACATCAAGAGTACATACTCCCAGCAGGAAGGACATCCCAGCTGCTGAGCTAAAACAAGCAGGCGCCTCTATTGGGCAGCAGCAATATAGGAAGGTGCTGGAGGTGGATGATCACTTTAATGACAATAGCAAAGACATCATTTCATATTGTACAATAAAAAGCAGTAGTAAACCACTCTTGTATTTTATCAAGAAAACCACATGGATAGAAAATGTAAACTGACTGACAATATAGTGCATGATGGTGGACCCCAGAGGTTGGATGGTACTCAACATGCTACTGAAAAAGAGCTTTAGATATTTTACTAACGGTGTTTTTGATGCTGCTAGATTAAAGCCTTCCAGATGTCTTGTTGCTGGTATTGCCAGGCAGAAAAAGAAAATCCAAAGGTGCAAAGACACTGAGAACATGAAACATAAGAAGCATAAACATGGGAAAGTTCAATACAGTGAAAGATGAAATTAATCAACTATGCATTAACATCACAGGTGTCAGTGAACTGAAATGGACTAGATTGGACATTTTTTCAGTCAGAAGATCATACTGAAGGAATGGTATTCCTTTCATTTTCAGGAAGGACATAGCAAAGACAGTACTCAGATATAATGCAGTCAATGACCACATAATATCAATTAGATTTTACAAATGAATTAATCATTTAATATGACAATTATCCAAATTTATGCTCCAACCCCTGATACAGAAGAAGAAGTGCTTGATGAGTTCAGTCTAAAATAGATAGAACAGGCAAGCAAAACAAAAAGCTTGTGGCTGGAGATTGGAATGCCAACCTTGGAAATAGCAAGAAGGAAAATATAGTTGGACTGTAAGACATAGGAAACAGAAATAAAGTGGAGAATGAATTAGCAGTTTCTGCCAATCCAAACATTTCTCCATTGCTATCACAGAACAACTTTATACATGGACATCACTAAACGGAGCACACAGAAATCAAATTGACTATATTATTGGTACAAGGAAGTGAAAGAGCTGTTATAATAGCAAAGATGTGGCCAGGGGATTATTGTGGAACAGATCACAAATTATTCATGTGAAATTTCCAAGTAAAGCCAAAGTGGAAGAACAAAACCAACCAGTTTCCATGATATGATCTTCAGCATCTACCCATCATTTCCAAGGAGAACATCAGGAATTGTTTTGAAGTTCTGAATCTCACTGATAAGGAACCAGAGGAACTATGGAATGAAATTAAAGATGTTGTTAATAATAAATGTGAAAAAAGACTGCTAAAAGACAAAGAAACAGAAGAGACCAAACTGGATGTCAGAACAGATGGTAGAAATTGTCAAGAAGAGAGGAGAAGCCAAAGACAAGAAAGACAAAGATCTCAGGAAGGAACATAAAGAATAATTTCACAGTACTGGTAGAAGAGCCAAGACGCAGTTTTATAACAATGTTCTTTAAGAAACTGAAGATGGAAATAGACAAAGAAAACAAAAAAGTCTTCAAGAAGATCTCCAAACTCAGAAGGAGGTTCCAATCTCAAATTATGTTAAAGGACACCACAGATAGTAACTGATTCAAAGAAGATCAAACAACGATTGGTGTACACTGAAATTCCATACAATAGAGATGTCAACATCCAAGATACCTTAGAAGTTATTTCCTATTTATAATGACGTGAAGTCAGCATTCTGGTTATTACTAAATCAGAAGGCTGGATCAAACTGTTTTCTTAGATATACCACAAAAGGTCATATATTTGGGATAGTATGAAAGCTGTACTCCTTAAATTTCACAGTTGAAATTTCCTGTTTTCTTCCTAATATCAAGCCCAGGACTTCCAGTCTCACAAACTTAATAATGATAGGAGATGCACATCTTGGAATACTAATTTTAGTATGTATGCAATAAACATCTTTAATCTTTAAATGAAGATCTGAAGAAAGCAAAAGAGAATCCTGTAAGCAATGTTCCAAAAAAGGATTTGGACCTTCAACATCAGCAAGTAAGCCAAAAACTTATAAATACCTATGGGTTAAATCTTGTATTTTATAAGATCTCTCATTCTTCTGCATATGTTTGAATGTATTCTCAGCTGTTTTTAATCTTGGTTCATGAGAATGTGCAATAAACATCTTCATATTCTCCAGCTCCTGTCGAAATTTGGTATTTTACCATTTTGCTTCATCACGTTGATATTTCAACAGCACTGATCACATTTGTAGATGACCTCTAGGGAAGCAGGGTAGGGGAATACATCCATCCTTACTGTCTTTGATCTCTCACTGACCATGGTATCCTTCTGGACTGGCTTCAGGAATTGGAAGTGGGGGTTACAGTATTGTTCTGGTTCTCCTCCTTCCTCTGGAGCCAGTTCCAGTTGTGTTGGGGGGGGAGAACAGATCTAGCCTATGGCCCATTCTTTGTGAGGCCCCTCAGGGCTCAACATTATCCCCACTCCTGTTTAACATCTACATGAGGCTGTTGGATGAGGTCATTCTGTAGCATGAGATGAGGTATCATCAGTATGCTTCTCTACCAGCCCTAGGAAGAAAACAATGGCAAACCACTTTTGAAAGTGTTACCAAGCAAGGACTTATCCAGTCACCAGTAGTTACAACTGACCCCCAAAAAATAATCACTTAAGCAGTCAAGAAATATACTGCAGACTATCACTTGGAAAAGTAGCAATGAAGGCCTTGGAAAAAATATTCAGATGTCATGATGTATCTATACAGGTAGGCAATGCTTTCCCTTCTGACACTCTATGGAAGTGAAATGTGGGCTTTGGAGAAGCAGGATAGAAAAAGTATTGATGCATTTGAACTTTGGTGTTGGAGAAGACTCCTGAGAATACCATGGATAGCCAAGAAAACAAACAATTATAGAACAAATCTGTCCAGAGTTTTCACTCAGGGTACAAATGACTAGGCTCAAATAATCATACTTTGGATACATTATGTGAAGACTGAGCTCCCTTGAGAAGTCCACAATGCTGGGAAAGGTAGAAGGAAAGAGAAGAAGAGGATGTAGAGAGTAAGGAAGATGACCCTGATGTAAATATGCATCAGCCAAAGGGAATTGAAGCATTTTTTAAGCCCTGGGAAACGAGATAATATTTGGAAGTAGTTCAGGCAGACATCTCTCTGATGCAGTGGGGTATAATGGTGTGTGTGGGGGGGGGAGGTTCAGCTCAGTCACACTTGTAAGATTCTGTTATTATAGCCAATTTCAATAAAAGTAGTTCTAATCTTCCTGTGGCATTGATTTCCTGATCTGGTCTACCTAGTGGGGCTGACCAGTAGCAAGGTGGGTGGACTCCATTACAGTGGTGATAAGTGCACCACTGGAAGAGTTGAAGGGTCAGGTTGGAGGCAGATCATCCCGGAGAAGGTCTATCTTTGTGGTCAC